TATTTCTCTGCTTCACTGTATCATCTGCCCCATTACTTACCATGAACCTCTAAACTACAGTAATCTTTATCAACTCTGCCACAAAGTACCAGATTGTCACTGGACTTAATCACAAAGTCCTCCTGTTCATACTGATCCTGAAACAGCAAGGAGATGACCATGGGTGTTAGAAGTCATACACCAAACTATATATGTACAAAAGCCTTAATTGGTARTAATTTTTAATCACAGCTGAAAACTCTCAAAACCCAATGCCCTGCTCTGCCCTGACCTTCTTACAGTGGTAAATAAGAAAGGCAGGAGCCAGAATCCATCATGGGACATTTGGAGAGTTTCTATGTAGACTGAAGGAGTGTCTAGGTAGRCTGAGGTGGGTTTATGGAGATCTTAAAATTCCAAATATAAAATCACCTCTTCAGCCTCTAGGATGCAACACATGGCTGAAACCACAATCACCATGAGGAGCCCACACACGTCGCTTATTTCCCCTAAGCTCCCAAGCCTTGAACTTTACAAAGAAGTGCAACAATGTTTTACACAATAAGCATATTGTAGCTGTTCCTCACATCCACCAAGTAATTCCAACAGCACTCAAGTATTGTCCACTTTCTGGAAAACATTCCCAGAAAAGTACTGCCTGCAGCTATACTGGGCATTCAGCTGCACCAGAACACACGTAGTTTCTCATCTCATTTTCACTGTTAGTGATGAACAGATGGCATTCATGGAATTTCTACTGGTTGAAACCTAAGAATTACATATAAAACTCAGCAGTGTTATACAAAAACTATCCTTCATATATACACTATTGCTAGAGTTCTATCTATCAATGCAATGTATTAATTAGCACATACAAAAGGGATTGCACAAAACAATTTTATGGAAAAAAAAAAAAATCTGTTTTTAGAATTTCTTTTTAGAAAACGTTGCCAAAAAGACTGACAAACTTGGAATGGAGCAAAGACATCTACAGACTGTAAGACAACCTGGCACCAGTGAAAGTTTAACAGAATTCTAAGTTCATTCAAGTTTGTTCAAGACATTCATTTTTAAAGTACTTACAGTGGATTTTAGGGTGATGTAAGGATCATGCTCATTGCTCCCATACACTGCCAGACCAGCAAAAGTCTCTCCAAGCTTCGTATCATCTAGATACAGACACAACTTTTTTTTATCCTGATCAACGATAACTGAAGCCTTAGAAGCACTGTACCAATGACTTGGTAACTCCAGTTATTGCCAAACACCTGGAGCAGGCTCCATCAGAAATCCAGTTTCAAAATCTAAGAAGAGCCTCAGAGAGCTCGGCTGCTTCTTGCTTTCCGAGACTCCRGCTGCTGCTTTGCCCCAGCACTACGACAGGGGCCCTGACAGCCGTTCCAGCTCTGCTCTSTTTTAGTGCCTATTCCTTACGGAGGAAGGGACACTGAATTGTTTCACTCATACAATGTCTTCTGGAACCAGGACAACCGAGTAAATCAAAATGCCCGTTGCCCACATTTCAGTCAAAGTACTGCAGTTTTAGGATACTTAAGTACTCCAAGAACAAAACAACACAGAAAATGGTCACCCACACTATTTATTTGATATCTACATTTCTGTTGCTACCTGTGTCTTCCTCTTCATCGTATTTGTCCAATTCATATTCAGCCAGCTCATCATCACTCAGCTTTTCAGTGGTTTCCTCCTGGTCTTCGTTTTTAGGAGAGGACTCCGTTCTGCCAGCAGCAGCAGCAATATCCATGCTGTCGGCCCCCTGGCCTTGCTCTTCTTCATCGCTGCCATCAGCATCCTCCCTGTTTGAAGGCAGGCATTCCCGGGGAGAGACACGGACATTTACAATTCTTCCAGGAAACAGGGGATGGGCAATGAGATTCTGACATATTCTTTTCACATGAGTGTTCACATGCAGTCTATTCCCTCCAGTCACTTACCAGCTTTTCCCAAAATAAGCACCATTATTCTCAGGCTTCTTGACAGAGCTAATGCATCTAAATCCAATTCTTAGTCTCCTTCCTCGTTGAAAAAGTTATTTTGCCTTTTTCCTCAGTGAGTTCTCATATGTCCAATTCCTTCCTTTCCTCCCTTCCTCACTTCTCCTATTATTTGTGATGAATCTTGGAGGTCTGCAGGGATTTTAAACCTTATTTCCCTTATACATCTCAAGAACTAAAAACCCTTCACCCTRCTTTAYGTTTTTTAYTTACTTTTTATTATTATTTTGCTTTTTTTTTTATTTAGCAATGCTTTCCCACCTCAAACCATACTTGTTAAAATTATACACCTATAAATCTAACTATCACAAACACTTTTGGGCATCCTAATGGATCCAGTTACCGTTTTTTACTAAAAGAAAATAAGGCACCAACTTCATTAGGTAAGGCCATCTYGCAAACAACTTATAAAAACTAGGTAACATCTAAGGAATTCTGAACTTTCGCGGCAATGATTCAGGCCCTGCTGACACCTGCATGGAATTGAACAGAGGAAGGYATGCAGCAAACGTGGCTCAAGGACCTAACGGACACCCCAGAGGTCCCACAGGAATTTCACAGCAGCTCCTTCCTGGTGAGTATCCTGCCCTTCTCTTTGCAAATTCCCAGGCAGCAGCAAGCCAAGAGGCTCTCATAATCTTTGACATCTTGTATTTTTTTTTTGTACTTACTATGAGATGGGTATTTATTTATTTATTTATTTATTCCTATGCAAACAGCACAAGTCAGATTCAGATTTAGAATGCCTGTTTACCCATCTCTGACACATTAAAGATTATGAGAGCCTCCTGGCTTGCTGCTGCCTGGGAATTTGCAGAGAGGTCACAAAACTTTTAGTTGCTACAGGTCGATCTCYGAATTTTTAAGGGAAATAAACATCACACACCAAATTACCACGGCATGATTGTTGCAGGAAAATCTGGGGTGGTTTTTGGTATTTTTGACGCTTCAAGAGAAGCGCCTCCACGCAGAAAGCAGACGCATGCCCGTGTAAAGAGAACTAAGCAGCACTGCAGCCAGCAGGAAGGTGAAATAACGTTTGTTAAGAAATGAGAGTAAAGACGAGAGTCTCCCAAACATTTACGACGATTTTGAAACCACAAAAAGGAGAAAAATAAACGTGGGACAAGGCATTTAACGCGTGGCAGGGCCGCGGCTCCGCGCGGTGGGCAGCGTCCACGGGCGCCCGCCGCCGCCATTGCGGCCTCGCCCCCCGGCACGGCCCACCGCCCCCGGCCCGGCGCCCCGCTCACCGCAGCGCGCCGCGCGCCTCGCCGATGAGCCGCCTCAGCTCCTCCGCGCCGAGCCGCACCTGCGGGGACACGGGCGCGTGAGGGGACACGCGGGGACACGCACACGGACACGCACACGGACACGCACACGGGCGCGGCGGCGACACCGTTGGGGTCCCCCCGCCCCCCCCCCACCTTGTCCGGCGTCTCCTTGGCAACGCCGCGGCGCACCCAGGCGGCGCACGTGACCGGGCAGCTCATGGCGGCGCGGGGCGGGGGGGGGCGCGCGCGGAGGGAGGGGGCGCCGCACGTGCCGCCGGGCCGAGCGGTCGCGCGCGGAGTGACGTAGCCACCCGCGGCTCCGCCTGTAAGGGCGAGGGAGTGTGTGATGTCATCAATTAGCGCCGGGAATGCCCGGCTGGGGGCGTGGCTTGAGGGGGAAGTGGCGGTTGGGCGGGTGGAGGGGCGGGGCTTGAAGCGTAGGAAGGGGGTTGGGTTTGGGATTGGCTTTGGGATTGAGATTGGGATTGGGACTGAGATTGGGGTTAGGTTTGAGGTTGAGTTTAGGGTTGATGGGGCTGGAATTGGGGAGTGAGTTGGGGTTGGGGTTGGGGTTGAAGTTGAAGTTGAAGTTGAGGTTGAGGTTGAGGTTGAGCTTGGCCTTGGCCTTAGGGTTGGGCTTGGCCTTGGGTTTGACACTGGGCATGGGCCTGGGGTTGGGTTGGTCTTGAGATTGGGTTTAGGTTTGAGGTTGAGTTTGRGGTTGGGGATTGAGGTTGGGATTGAGGTTGGGATTGCGCCTGGAGGTGAGTTTGGGGTTGGGATTGGGGGGGAGGCTGGGATTGGGATTGGAGTTGGCGTTGAGGTTGCATTGGGGTTTGGGGTTGATGTTGGAGCTCACGGTTTAGGTTGAGGATAGGGATGGGTTCAAGGATGGCGATGGCGGTTTAGCCCTGCCCGTGCCATTAGCYGTCCGTGCGGGAAGGCAGCCTTGTTCCCTGCGGGAGGCCACGCGCAGGGCCGGCAGGATCCCGYGGCCCTGCTGCTGCTGCCCGCACCCAGAGGAGGAGGAAGGGGCAGCCGGCTGCCCCCTGAGCTGCGGAGTCCCAGCCTGCCCCACGCCTGAGCCCCAAAAGCCTCAGGGCTTTTGCCAGCCTGTCCCTTGCTGTGTCTCCTGCACGTTGTCCCCACGCCTGCGTTTAAGGAAGCGTGGGGGCAGGGACTGAAACAAACAGGCTGGCACCAAAGCGCCTGCGCCCCGTCCCCGCTGGGCTTTGCTGCCGTCCCCGCCGCCCCCTGCGCGAGCACCACGCGCCAGGGAGTGGSTCTGAGCGCGCAGGGACAGCGGATGGGGCACAGCCGCTCCCGCCAGCGCGGCCTGAGTTTGGTGTGTGACCAAACTTGCAAGGAGACCTATTGCCTCGAGCAATAGTTGCTCCTGTTCCCAGCAAATTTAATTGCAGAAAGGTGCTCGGTTTTGTCCCTTAATTAGCCTGGATCGTTATGCTTGGCACCTTGAGCTTGTTCTAGGACTCGAAGACCTATTTAGTAGCAAAAGAAAAAAAAAAGGCCACTACAATGTAATGCATCTTTGCATAACCACTCCACTTGGATGCTCAGGTTGAGCAACGTGCTGCCCTGTCTCCAGGATCTTCCAACTCACAGATTCACAGATTCAGAGAATATTTAAGGTTGGAAGGGACCTCTACAGATCATCTAGTCCAACCTTCCTGCTCAAGCAGGCACACCTACAGCATGTGGCACAGGGTGGCATCCAGGCGGGTTTTGAAGACCTCCAGAGAAGGAGACTCCACAGCCTCCCTGGGCAGCCTGTTCCACTGMTCTGTCACCCTAACAGTAAAGAAGTTGCTCCTCACCTGGAGACGGAACTTCCTGTGCTTCAGCTTGTGGCCATTACCCCTCATCCTATCGCTGGCCACCAGTGAGAACAGCTTGTCCCCTTCCTCCCTGCATTCTCCCTTCCTGAACTTATACATATTAATCATATCCCCTCTGAGCAGTCTCTTCTCCAGAGAAAACAGGCCCAGCTCGCTCAGCCTCTCTTCATACGAGAGATGTTCCATTCCCTTAATCATCCTGGTTGCCCTTCTCTGGACCCTCTCCAGAAGCTCCACGTCCYTHCTATACTGGGGTGCCCAGAACTGCACACAGTACTCCAGRTGCGGCCTCACCAGAGCTGAGTAGAGGGGCAGAATCACCTCCCTTGMCCTGCTGGCAACACTCCTCCTGATGCAGGCCAGGATSCCATTGGCCTTCTTGGCCACGAGGGCACACTGCTSACTCATGGTTAACTTGGTGTCAACCAGGACTCCCAGGTCCCTCTCYGTGGAGCTGCTTTCCAGCAGGTCRACCCCTAATCTGTCCTGATGCCTGGGGTTATTCCTCCCCAGGTGCAGGACCCTGCACTTGTCCTTATTGAACCTCAGGAGGTTCCTCTCTGCCCAACTCTCCAGCCTGTCCAKGTCCCTCTGGATGGCAGCACAGCCCTCCRGAGTGTCGRCCACTCCACCCAGCTTGGTGTCRTCTGCAAACTTGCTMAGGGTGCAYTCCGTGCCCTCGTCCAGGTCATTGATAAACAAGTTGAACTCTTTCAATCACTGATCACTGCACCTGACTACAGTTTCCAGTTCCTGCAGGAGGAGACTTGCTGCACCATCCTGCTGGTGTCTAACACTGCGGCTCTAAAACATTCCAGCAGTAATCCACCAGAATTGGAGGGTGAGCAAAGCGAAAACTACAGCGATTCAGCACAAGGTGTTGTGTGCCCTTGTAGCAGCATACATACCCAGCTGAAACCCTGTAACTTACTGACTTTAAACTTGCAGTTTTTTTAAATATTGGGAGATATACATATAATCCAGGGTGTTTTAGAAGGCTCTGTCTCTGAACAGAGAATACTCCCTAAATACTCTCCTGCTATTCAGTATTAGTGCCCTTTTTGTTCCTGTCTTTAAAATACTGTCCAAGGAGAATAAACTGATGCACAATCGCTGGTCTGAGGAATATGCAGGAACCTCTGTGAGAGGAATAGCTTGCTCACAGGAGGTATTTCTATTTTCCCTCCCAAATACCCATATTCGATACTAGCTACTTAATTAAATCAGAGAAAACTGGCAAAATGTCCTTTGCAATATGTAGGAAGGTAACCTTTCGTTAACCTGCAGAAATCATTGATGTTTGCATCACTAAAACTTTATTTCAGAGGCTAACTGCAAATTACAAGGATGAGGAAACAAGGTTAGGGAAAGCAGCTTTTCTCATGGTAAAGCTCAAAGGTTTGGCAGCCAGATTGCAGCTTGGCAGACAGAATAGTTCTGTTATTTCATCCATATATCACTAGACAGCACAACTGCAGCATTTATTTTATGTCGAATCCTCTGTGGTTCTGGCAGGAGCGATAAATATCTAAACATTGCCACCTCCCCTGTTTATCTCACCATTTATTGTGGTCTGTCTTAGTGTAGAAACAAAASGTATGAAAGCAAAAGCTAAACTTTTTTTTTTTTTTAATCAGTTTGTACTGTACTTCATAAAATGGGCATCCTAGTCCTACCTAGGATCTATGATAGGGGTGATGTATAGATAATTCCAACCCTCTGCTTTACTGTGCTGGACTTTTTGCTGACCTGCTATTTACTTTGCAGGTCTTAATGTGTTAAGTGTAATGTGTAATGTGACACATTCTCGTAATGTGTTAAGAAATTCCCTCTTTTCCTCCCATGTATGATTTGGCTACAATTTCACTGCCGTTTCCACTGTCCTTTTCCCGAATTCTTGGGGAAGTTTTGTGTAAGCAGACGCTGCTCCCAAAGCATGGGCAGAGGGAAGTGTTATGCAGCCAAGAGGAGGAAGGAAATGTTACTTTCCAGTGACTGTGGTTCTTTTAGAGCCGATTTTTTTGGCAARCAAACATTCGCACTGTGGATGTTTGCCCAACAAGAACTTGATCCAGACTTTTTACGGCAGCAGTGCCTGGAGGGGCCCACGCGCTCGGCCTCCCCTCCCGCTGTGCCCCTAATCGGGAAAGGGCAGTGCCCTGCGGCCGTGCTCCACCATGGAGGTACCGAGGAAGAGACTTGGAATTGGAGGAGGAATGGAAAATAGGTAGCAAATGTACACATAGGAAATGCAGCCGGGAGAATGGCTGTTAATGCTAAATAGCTTTTCCTTTGAGAGCCTGCCCAGAAATGTCAGGTGTCTCTACTCCTTCCCTTCTTGGTAAATGTTCTGGGGATTTGGAGGTGGGAAAAGAAAGCCCAAAGGGCTGATTTATAAAATAAATTATTGGTTCAGGGTGCCCGAGCACTAGCAAGATGTGGTAGAAAGAGTGGAGCGCCAGCCAGGGAAGCTCCCTGCAGGCACCTGGGATGGAAACTGCTTTGGCCCTGCTTGAACTACAGAGCAGGACAGCCCAGGGACCCTGTAAGGAATTAACCACACATCAGAGATCAGATCACAACAGTAAAAAGTGGTCATCTGGGTATCTACTAATCAAAGATAATTTAGCTACAGATGGGTAAGGCTTAGGAAAGAAAATGTTTAATTCTTAATTTGGCATAGACTTAATGGGTCAAGAAAAGGCAGAAGGTGGGGAGCGGAGGGCCAGGAAGAGTAGTAGAAAACACCAGTGTCTTCTTTAAAGGGAAACAAACAAACAAGCAAACACTCTTCAGTTTAGGGCATGGGCCCATCTTAATGGCATTAAGAGAAGAAACTTGGTTGATGAAGTATCTGCTAGGAAATGARGTAGGTCTGCAGAGATTTTGAAATATTTCAAACTATGAAACTGTCTCTAAACATTTCCAGTATGGAAGGTGGAAGCTACTATGCCACGAAAAAAGGTTCATCCTGCAAATCCTATGGGCTGTAAATAGGAAAACACAGTGAATATTTTGCATGTTTTGGGAGAGATTCTGCTGTAGGCTAAGACTGCAGTTCAGCTTCTGGAGGACTGCAGTTCAGTTGGCTTTCTTTTCTAGAGGAAGAAAAGAGAATAAAGGAACTGATACATTAGCACACCACCTTATTGATAAAATAAAAATTCTGTCTTCCCAATTGAGCTGTGAAATATTAGTTTAGCCACCCCAGAAATGCCAGACAGCTAACAGCAAGGCTGGGCTGTCAAGAAATCCTCTAGCTTATCAAAAAAACAAGGGAGTGCTTAGGAGTGACTTTGAAACACCAAGGGTAGATATGAAAGTCCTCAGGGTTACTTTCTGATTTTCCATTTGCATTCCCTG